CCTGTTAACATCAACTTAATTTATAAACAAGCGTAGTTTACCACTTGCATACACCTAGTTGTTCGCACAGAAAATGAGGTTGATGGAAATTCAGGGATTATGCCTAACAGAGCCTAAAACACGAAACAGGTAGTGGGATGTCGGATATTGTTCAGAAACTTTGGTGGTGGTGTTACGTCGAGAGGAAGTACGTCGACGTCTCGATTAGCTTGTCAACCGAAACATGAGGTGGAGCTTACTCATTATGTTTGACTGACGAATGGTTGGACTGGGTATTCATCTCATGTTTAGTTGAGTCTCTGTACTAGCAGTCTAGATTGCGACTGTGTTTTGCTACTTTGGTGTTCGAGTGAAAAAAAGATAGACGGAATCTCGCTGACTGCGCCCATCTGATGAGCTCGGCGACCGGTTATGGAAGTTCGGGGACTACTACACCTGATGAGCCTGGGTAAGGGTGAAAATGGTAGTGGTGAAGAAAATTTTCGCCGTTATTTTTTATCAGAATCATGTTGAAACCAGAAATACTTCGACATCTTGGATATCCTCCCAGTTGATACAGGTGGCTGCACCACATTCAATATAAGGAGCCCGCAAACGATTCACCCGCGATTCCACTGAACACTCCGGTATGCCCAACCTAATTCGAAAGTGAGTATATTTTACCAGTTGCATAAAATTTGATGTTCGACATCACGTAGAGTCGCCATTGGGTAGCTGACATCACTATTGACACAGCCAACAAAATTGTGAGAAACAGCACACGAGTCAGTAGAAACCATAGGCCTCGTTCTAAAATATTTCATTCCAGGTACAAACAAACAAACTGTGGTAGTCCGAAGGGGTTGAAAGGACAGTCGCTATACCGTTTCTGTTAGAACCGAGGCAATAGGTACGTACATTTAAATGGACTCAGAATAAAACAGTATACGTAAGGAGCAGAGGGGCAGTTTTTTTCATGGGGGGGGATGGTTTACTATTCAGTTTTCTGTTAGAACCGAGGCAATAGGTACGTACATTTAAATGGACTCAGAATAAAACAGTATACGTAAGGAGCAGAGGGGCAGTTTTTTTCGTGGGGGGGGAGGGTTTTTTGACTATTCAGTAGGGGACATCTGGATTGCTGCGGAAGTAAACTTGTCGAACTGACAAGGGATCACAGCTGGTGTGCTCATCACGATTCCATGTGTTTGCTATACCATATGCCATCACATCTCGAAGTATGCGCCAACTGTACTAAAATAGACACGGACCAGAAGATACTCACACGCAAAGTGACGTCGAACACGTCTTGGGTAGAGCGACCTCCCATACATGCTGAGTGGCTAAACACGTAATGGACTGAATTCCGTGCAGACAGTCCACGTTCGATTTTAGGCAAGACCAGATTTTCCCTACAGAGATACTCAGTTTTAGCGACGACATTCTTTTCCGGTTCGACCCGTCAGAGTGAAGTACATCGATGAACACCTGGTCATAGTTTGTGCTGAGCCGCGTGCGTATCTACCTGAAATCCCTATACCCGGTGTGAACCTGAGGAAATAAGACAGGAGGGCGCAGTTCTACAGCTATCGGCGTGTCCCATACGGCGTCCATAATTGTTAATTAAAGTGGGCATAACTGAACTATTGAGACACACTTCATGCAAACAGTCATGTGGTGGCTAAATGGCCATCGTTCAGGTAGATTTGACCAGCGATGGTCACGGGTAGCCACCTCTTGCACTACGACAGACAAGTGTTGAGTAGACGTATGTGGAACCAGTAGCAATGAGTACAAGACGTAACCAAGCGCCTAACCCTCCAAGGTAAATCGGTCGAAGTTCGCGTTGGGTAGTGTGGGGGAACAAGGAGGCAACAGCGTGTCGGAAAACAGGAACATCAAACTGTTTAGTGATGTGTTAATGGTTGCCTAAGGGCAACGAGTGAAGGCAATGTGAGCACTGATTCCTGTAGGGTACAACGACCTAGTTTAAGTTCCCATGAGTTTCATCACACAGTATTGCTAATTCAGCTGGACTGATTTCTTTCTCGGTTATAATGAGGTGTACTTGAAGATTGGCAAGGAAAGCTTGCATGCTTAATATTGTAGTCTGTTTTCTGGACCGAAAAGGTGATTTTTCTACTGCATAGAGGTTCAAATGAAAACCAGACTGTTAGGCAGAATCCCACAGAGATCCCGTTTTACCGCTCGCGGTTAGGCGTTGCTACGGCCGAGAATCCTCGCTGGCAAAGGATTGGCCAAGATTTCGGACGCTTGCGCTTAATATTGTAGTCTGTTTTCTGGACCGAAAAGGTGATTTTTCTACTGCATAGAGGTTCAAATGAAAACCAGACTGTTAGGCAGAATCCCACAGAGATCCCGTTTTACCGCTCGCGGTTAGGCGTTGCTACGGCCGAGAATCCTCGCTGGCAAAGGATTGGCCAAGATTTCGGGACGCTTGCCGGTCCTGCATCAAGCCGAGATATGATTGGTCGAATGTCTGGACCCAACAGCCAATCATGACCCAGTAGTGTCCGAATGCTGCGTGAGACTTGTCCCGAAGAGCCAGTGAGCACGTGGCCATTTGGCGTGGATTTTTAAGCGAGTGGTGCTATTTCGCGTCTAAGTAAAAGCTACCGCTCGTGGCCGAATAGCGAACACGCGAGCTCCCGGGCGTTCTGTGTTCTCTGAAATATCATGAGATGCGCAATCTGGTTAGTTCTACTGGGCATGAAACAACTGTAGAGCTGTTCGATCCTTATCACTAGTTGCCTTCACCTACAGGACGAAGCCTCTTGAGTACTCACAAATTTGCTCAGATGTGAAGTCAAGGTATGTCGCTCAAGAGGTCGATTAATACAGTACGATTGAGGAGTGCACGTCAGAAGTTGTCTTTCGTGGGACCAAGTTGGCAGGTGATATCGATTCCGTGATTACTGATCGAGTTAATTGTCCTTTTGGTTGGCCGATGTTTACTGAACTGTTGATGTATCGGTTACCTGTCGGGTTTAAACTTTCTGCACTCTTATCCGAACTGATTAATATTCCCAATCGGGATGAAACGGGTGTAAAGTGCTTCTCATATGTTAGCAACAAGGTCACTCTATACTCAAACAAATCACCTTGAAAATTTCCAAATATCACTCGTAATTTCATGCAGCCCATTCGGAAGTAGGTAAAGAACGAATTGCGGATTAAATTTACGTAGGGGAATCAGAAGAGTTAGTGAACACGGTGTGGATTCCGTGATTGGAAGGTGGGTAGCAGGTAGATTGAAACTCACTAGCTCCCGCCGAGTAGTTTAACTCCACATCATTCGGAAACCAATTTTCAACAGCAGGATTAACGCGTACTTGCACTGCACCATTCCTCCTGCAGTCACGGAATCCACATCACCTAGTGACGTAGCGTTTTCGCCGCCTTCTTGATTGAGGATTTTTGACACACAAGTTTCACTCGTCTTGTAAATTATTCTACCTACTGAGCTACTTGCATGTCGTTTGTGTTATGAAGTGATCTTTGAAATTCCAATTCAGATTTGGTGTCGTAAGTAGATAGTACGTTTTGTGGAAAGACGAGAATCAGTGTTCGGTTGTTTCATCCATCTTTGGGGTAGTGAGCAGTGTGGACATGACGAAACTGCAGGCAGTTTTTGACCCGCTGCTTCCCGACTAGTAGTTAAAAACTTAACCAACGAGTGATTGGTCATCAGTGTACTTAACGCGCACAGCATAAATCGTCACCAGTCTAGGAATCACAATCTACTTGTCGTGGTCACCGTTTCAACAGCATAAAATATTTTGGCATCATGAGAAGTTCCATGAACTCTTCATGGAACATTGTTGTTGTAAGTAGATTGAACTTTCGATGAAAAGCCTAGAAGCTCTCTGCAGCACTCCCATCCTTATTGCGAATAATGAGCGATGTGGATTTGACCAAATTCCAACCAGTTTACTATCCTGTGACGCAAGTCTAGTAGTTCACCTCAGCAGCGGTCTGCTGATTAGCAGCCAGATTAACTCATGCACAATTTATAGCGCCACTAATCCTAATCACCTAACCACATGTTCACTAAGCGTTGAGTGACAATGACGCTACACGCCATCACCGCGGAATGTCACCGACTGTTCAACCTGAAGCGAAATCGAACGCTGTTGGCTCCCTCTTAGTTTGCTTGCAACTTTGCAGGTCAACACCCCAGGTCACAGGAACTATCTCACAGTCACGAACAATGGTCATCCAGGCCGTCTTCAGTTGAACACTAAGTCGGACATGAGCATCATTTCGGATTAGCTTTGGCGCCCGCTGGGGTAACCTCCGATCATACAAGCCGCTCGAACTGCCTGCGGTGGAGAGTTAAAACTCTCCGGTGAGCTCCAATTCAGTGTATCTTTTCGAGGAACTACATTCGTCGGGTCGTGTTACGAAACGGCAGGTGAGCTGAATTTATTGGGTCCTGACTATTTCGATCGGTTAGGGTTAGCCAACATTTCAATCAGTCAGTTTGCAATACAGTTCAGTCTACCAAGGCACATCCCGAGCATGCATTCGACTTTATCAAGCGATTTGCAGTTGTTTTCGAATCCGGTCTCGGTCAGCACACTGCGACACAAGCAATGGGCCCAAATGCCGCTGTTCAGCAGCACCACTGTCCACTACCATTGCCCGACTACCTATTCACTGTTCTGAACAGTGGAAATTTCTCCGCGAAAATCGACCTTGTTGAAGCGTATCTTCAAGTTGAAGTCGCACCAGAAGCGCGTCCACTGTTGACAATCAACACACACCGCGGGCTAAAGGCGACGCTCAGTTCAGATCTGCTACTGATCCACTACGACCCAAATCTACCGATCGTCGTGGTAGCTGATGCCTCTACTTTTGCAGTCGGTGCCATGATCCTACGCGTCTTCCCAGAGGGATCAGAGAAGGCCATCATGCACGCGTCAAAATCACTAACGCCAGCAGTACGATAGGTACAGGTGGAGAAGGAAGCGTTGGCCTTGGTGTTCGCCATCCGGCGTTTACACAAGTTGTACGGTCGCCGTTTTACCCTACTTATCGATAATCAACCATTACTCTCCATTTTCGGTTCCAAGAAAGGTGTTCGTGCACACTGCTAACCGCCTTCAAAGGCGGTTATTATTATTATTATTATTATTATTATTATTATTATACTGAGCTACAACTTTGATAGTCTAAATATCGTCGCACCACCGACTTCGATCAGGCCGATGCATTATCTCGCCTGGTTAGCAACCAGCCAACTCATGGAGGTGATATGGTTATTGCGCAGGCAGCTTTTGAGGACCCAGCCGGCTCCCAGTCTGTTCATGCATTGCCCGTGACAGTGACAGAGGTTCAATAAGCTGCCATGCCTTCGACAACTCCTTCATCACATAGGGGCACCGTCAGTCGTGAACGATTGCCTAATGCTTGGAGAGTACTCCGTCAGTTCCATTCTGGGCATCAAGGAATAAACCGCATGAAGTCAATAGCTCACAGTTCCGCCTACTAGCCTCACATGGACCAGCACAACACTGATTTTGTAAAACGTTGCTCCTGATGCCAACAAAATGTCAAGAACCCACCACATCAACCACCGGTTCCCTGGCCTCGACCTGAGAAGGCTTGGTCTCGGGTCCACATCAATTACACGGAACCGATACGTGGCACCTCCTGTTTGGTTTTGATTGACGCTTTTTTCAAGTGGCCAGAAATCATGCCGGTGTCATCTCCAGCAACATCTAGTACGCTGCGTGTGTTATTCAACATTTTCAGTCAGCACGGCTTACCGGAGTCCATCATCACAGACAATGGTTCGCAGTTCACCTCCGCGGAGATCCGCGAGCTTTGTACTCGACATGCGATAACACATGTTTGTTCACCACCCTACCACCCTCAATCGAATGGTCAAACAGAAAGGTTCGTCGACACATTCAAGAGAGCCTTGATTAAAGCCCGAGAGGAGGAGACGTCAATCGAAGCCCTTCAGAGATTCTTGTTTGTGTATCGAACGGCCCCGAATGATGCTTTGACGAAACACGAGTCGCCTGCAGAAGCACTCATGGGTCGTAAGCTGCGAACTGTGCATTCTTCCATGTTGCCAACACAGTGTACTGAGTCAAGGTCCATACCGGTTGCAGCTGGAGCTCCATTCACGGTGGGAATGTCCGTACTTTTCCGTGATACCGCCTGGAACACGATGCGTGGAGCATAAGTCTTGGCGTACGCAAACGCGGTAGTGTGATGTAAAACATATCGGTTGCTCAAGACATCTGGACCGGATATCAAAAGCAACTCCGCGATGCCAGCACGAAGGATATTTCGGTATGTTCGGGAACCGCACCGTTGGACGTACTGTTCGATAAATTTCATCCCTAATGTCTATTGGATTGCCGCTCAATCTTGGTGATATTCGACAGAAAACATGGCGCCTAGTGCTGTTCTCAATCACCGCCCCAGAAGAGCCCGAGCTTGTGAAATTTGATTTGGTATAGCTATATATGGTGTAGCACGGCAGGTGCGCATGTGTTCAGATTGTGGCTCCTTCTCTTTTCCATTCCGAACTTCGTGATTTTTTTTCAAGCACTTCACCCAAACTTTCTGCTTATTCC